TGGTAAAGAATCCACCTGCCAATGCAGGAGATATAAGAGACATGGGCTTGATCCCTGGGTCAGGAAGATCCCCTGGAGGAGGGTATGGACACCCACTCCAGTATTCTTGCCTGGAGAATCCCATGGACAGAGGAGCCTGGCCGGCTATAGTCCTTAAGGGTGCAAAGAGTCGGACACAACTGAAGCAACTTAGCATGCACGCACACTAGTAGGGACCTAACTTTCGAAAAAGAAGGATACCTACCTGTGATAGTTGAGAGTTCAAACTCCTGTGTAAATTTCTACACATAGCATATGAGACCCTTCATGGCCTGGCCCCAACCTGAATTGCCAGTCTTATTTCCTATCACACCCTGAGCCCCATCCCAGGCCATTTTTGCTCCAGGACACACTCCACTCTTTCAAGACCCTGAGCCTTTGCACATGTCTATATCCTCTTTCCTACTGCCCTTAATTCAACAGACTAAGCACTTACTGTATACTAAGATTATGCAAGTAATTACCACACAGTTTGATAAGAACTCTAATCAACATACACTACTACAGTATCCTGCAGGAATTCAGAATGGGGGGAGGACTCCTTCCTTCTGAGGGGCTAGGGGGAGGGAGCGAGGAGAAGAGAGTTGAAGGTTTCATATAGGAACTGACCTTTGAGCTGAGTCTTCAATGATTAGGAATCTGCCAGTCAAGGAAGGGGGAGGAAATCTCCAAATGGTCTTTGGCTCCTCAGTCTCACCACACTCAGACATCAAGTCCTGGCATCAGTCCTGCATCCAAAGAGTCTCTTACATTTGTGTCCTCTTACTCCTCCTGCCGTTGTCTGAGTCCCACAGGCCCCACTTGGGCTATTGCCACAGTCCCATGGCCAGTCATTCTTCCCCTCATTTTTCCAACCACCAATCCACTGTTTCTGCAGCTGCCAGAGTGAGCTCCCACACTGCAAATCTGAAGGTGGCATTCCCCTACTCAAAACTCAACTATAGAATAGTCTTAATGCCTTATAGTGATGTACAAGGCCCATTATTAGCAGGTCACAGTTTATCTGTCCTACCTCCCCTCTAGCCATTTCCCTCCTCAAATCCTTCATAGCAGATTGTTTGTCTAACTCTGAAGACAACACCATACCCTTTCAGATATCTGTATGTTTTCTGCCCACTTTATTCTCCCTCCCTAAAGTGCCCCAATCCTTTCCCCACATGACAGGTTCAGACTGGCCTAGTCCAGGAATCAAAGGGAGCCTAGCTTGGTGGGCTTTTATAGTCCCTTCTCTCCCACAGGTCAGGCCTGGCATTTAAGTATTGTGGAATCAGTAAATGGAGCAAGCATTCCCCTCTAGCCACCACTGTGTGCACCCAGGCTATCTGATTGGGCATCTGAATCAGTTCATGGTTGCCATGCCAATTCTCTATGGAGACTGCAGCCTGCTTTGAAATCCCAACTCAGCTGGCTGGGGCCTTGACTACTCTCCTAGTTCAACCAGTCCCTTCATCCAGGAGCTGACTCTGTTCCTTTGCCCCCAGCTCCTGGTATCTCTGCACACACAGATGCTCTAAAAAGACCAGAAATGTCTCTAAGAAGTACTAGTACCATGAGAGAGAATGCCAGAAGCTTGTTACCAGGCCTTTTCTACCCTCAGATCACACCCCTTAAATATTTACCCTTAAATGGATCATGCTCTAAAGAAGTTTGTGACATCTCCTGGACTTTGCTGTTTAGACTGCTGTCCATTCCCTGGGGCAACCCTACGTTGCCAAGTTCCTTCCACTAGCTCCAACCTAGCTGAACCAGCCTCACTCCTTTCTGGCTCATCGAGTTCTAGCATGCCCTAAGGCTGTGGTCTCAGTGCTGATGATACTATCGTCCCTTACTCTTACAGTGTATAACCAGCTTTTGAACACATCTTGTTTGGGTCTCGCAAAAGCTCTGTGAAAGAGGTAGAGAGGTTAATCATCAACCTTATATTTCAGGTGAGGAAGCTGAGACTCAGAGAGGGTAAGTATAATGTTTCCAGGAGCTAGAAGTAGGTTTCCTAATTTCATTGCCATCTTCACTACTACAGTTGCTCTACTGGGTGTCTTCTGTGCAGCAAGTACTAAGCCCCACTTGCCTCCTGTATAAGAAACCCTTACATGTTTGTGACATAACCTCAAATAAAAAAGTCAGTCCTAAGGTCAGCCTGCTGTACCCACCTACCTCTTTGCTATATATATTGTGCACACCAGCTCCCCTCAAACTTCCTTTGGCCTGCTCCCACCTTCCCAGGTATTCAGTGGTAAAGAATCCGCCTGCCAATGCATGAGATGTGGGTTCTATTCCTGGGTCAGGAAGATCCCCTAGAGGAAGAAATGGCAACCCACTCCAGTGTTCTTGCCAGGAAAATGGTATGGGTAGAAGAACCTGGCAGGCTACAGTCCATGGGGTCGCAGACAGTCACACGACTGAGCAACTGAGCACACACGCAAGGACCTGTTTCACAATACACAAGAGTAAGTGTCCTTTTGACTGGAACACCCAGCCCAGTAGCTTTATTGTCCCACCACTGCCCCCTGGAGAGGAAAGTCTTGATCTGGAGATGGAACCCCTTTCCAAGGGGAATTCTTAGAATCTGAAGAGAAACTAGTTTTCTGAGGTGATAGATTTAACACTTCTCAATGTGGGAAGGGTATGAAGTTCCTTTGTTGAACAAGGATGGAATTTTAAAAAGAAAAACTTTCTCTTTTTGGCCTTTTAGACAGAAATGAGCTGCTGTTGTTTGTTGTGTTGTGTTGTGGATGGAGGGGGAATGTATTTCAATAAGAAAAGAAATCTCCCCTCATCGTGAGGGGGTGGGGACCTCTCCTCTGACAGTAGCTGTCGGTTTACTAAGGAAGAAGGAAATTTCTTGCAGGAAAGGAATGTCTGTCTTTTAAGAGAGGGGGGAACTCTCTTTCAGGATTGCAGAGTGTGTGGGAAAGGAATACTTGTGCACTCCTTTCTTTTCCAAAGGAGAAACCTCCTTGAATGAGGAACCCTCCCAGGCTTTCTGTCTGAAGGAAAAAGACTGTTTCTAGAGAACAATTCTGATAAGATTATGCCTGATTTTCTCTTCCTTTCTGACATACTTCCCACAGGGAGTCAGCATTCTCTGAAAGGGAGTAGCAAATAATTTTTTCTGTTAAGAGGTATGGAAGCACACGTAACTCTATGGCTGATTCATGTCAATGTATGACAAAACCCACTGCAATGTTGTGAAGTAATTAGCCTCCAACTAATAAAAATAAATGAAAAAAAAAAGAGGTATGGAAGCTGAAGGGAGAAACCGACTGTGGGGGAAACTTTTACTCCTAAGGGCCATTGGTGAGGGCAGTGACTCTGCAACAGGGAACCCTCATGAGACTGGGGGAGACTTTGGGGAATCCATGGAGCCCAGAGTGTTAAAGGAAGCTTAGAAAGGTTCTGGGCCATCCCTTGTTTGCTCATAAGAAAGTGGAAGCTTGCAGAAGGGAATACTTTGCTACTAAGTGACAGAACCCAAGACTCAAACCCAGCTTTATCAAGTGCCAGCCTGGAGCTCTTCCCACCACAGCCCAGGGAAAGAGGGGAGGTACCTGCTGCTTGCATGAGTGATGTTGAGGAAACTGCTGCTGTGAAATGTTTAACCTGTGTTAGAGACATCTCTGGGGTGGGAGGCATTGATTCCTGAGGGAAGGAAACTGGGGAGAAGGGTAGAATTAGGGCTACACCTGAGAAAAGGGGTCAGAATCACTGTGCAATCCAGTGGGTCGCTTGGAGAGCATCCATAGGGAGTGAAGGCTGAGTTTTGAGGGAGGACAGGCTGCAGGGGACAGGTCTCGCTGAGGAGATGCATGCTACCCTCTCAGACTTGTGAACTTTCTCCATCATTTCCTGTCTCTCCAGAGGGAGTTGTCATTTTAATCTTTTTAAAATCAGAGGAAGGGGTCCAGGGAAACTTTTTGAGGGCATGTAGATGTTTTATAATAGATTGTGGTCATGTTTACAAAACTGCACAAAATTACCCAAACTCAATAAACTACATACTTAAAATGGATGAAAAAAATCAATCAGAGAAAGGGATGAGTGAATTAGAGTCCAATAAAGCTGTTATTTTAAAACGGGGGCAAAAGAACCCAAACCAAACAAAAAATAGGAGAGAATGGCTCTGGGCCTGGTTGTGCCTGGCCTGTGGGGTAGTGGGATACCTGCGGCAGTCCCTCCTTGGCAGCTTCAGCTACTCAAATTGCTCTCTTTCTTTTCGCATTTCTTTCTTGATCAGCAAAAAGCCAAGGCCAGCTCATCCAGGGGGTGGTCAGAGATTGCAGGAGAAAGAACTTCACAAACACACAAGCCACCTCTTCGTTTACTGTAAAATCCTGTTTAATGTGTAACATTTCAGGCACAGAGAGGCCTTGGGGACTAGAGGCAAAGGCAACCCTGACCAACCCCCACTCCAACTTATCTGCCTGCTTCTCCCTCCCTAGCTCCTCCACCCCAGACATGTCCTCCTTTTCCTCAGGGCCGGCAAGCACTGTTCCTCCTTTTCTTGCGTTTGCTACCTTCCCTTCCCCACCCACACGTCCACAGCACCCTCCCTCCACTCCACTTGCCCACATCCCTCCCCACCGATGTGACTCCAGAAATAGGGTATCTGACAGTACGGGGTTAAGATTAGTTTCATAATTGGAGATGTTGTCAGAGCATCCGACCTCTGGTCCCCAGTGGTCCCAGGGAGAGGGAGAGGGAAGAGGAAGGGGTGCGGGCAACGAGAGCTGCCTGCGCCCCCGATAGCCTTGAGTGCTGGCGTGGGTGGCCTCCAGCTCCCCACACCTTCAGGCCCTGAGGCAGAAGGCCCTGGGGAGGAAGGGAAGTAGGGAGGGAAAGAAAGTTTTGATGGAGCAACCCCTAGCAGGCAGAGGCCTGCGCACTGGCAGGGGAGAAGGAGGGGCAGGCCTGGGGCAGGACAGGGGTTGGGGGCAGGATGGGAGGTTGCCTGATCTGTGGCATCAGCAGGCCGAGCAGCGGTCACTCTTCTCGGCCAGCCCAGCCCCGGTGCCGGGGCTGCGGCGCAGTATGTCTTTCAGGGAGCCGTCCTGCTCACTCAGCAGCTTGTTGATCTCATTCTGCTTGTATTCAGGTGAGAGGCGATGGCCGAAGCCCCCCGAGCCCTTGCGGGAGGGTGGATTGGAGCGGCGCTGGGCTCGGCGGGCACAGGCCCGGAAGATGAGGTACACCACCTCGGCCACATTGAGGATGATGCAGATGCCTGAGGCGGCCAGCATGAAGACCGTGAAGATGGTTTTCTCCGTGGGGCGGGACACGAAGCAGTCCACTGTGTTGGGGCAGGGGTAGGCATCACACTTGACCAGCCGCACCATGGCGTAGCCAGGGTAGAGCAGATAAAAGACATACATGAAAGCAGCCTCGAACAGCAGCCGGAAGACCACGCTGATCACATAGGTCCACCACAGTGTCCCTGAGATGTGGACCTTGTGCCTCTTCACCTCCTCCAGGTGCAGGGGGTCGCCGTGGCCCTCAAGTCGAAGCATTTTCTTTTCAATGTGCTGCTGGTGTGCCACGTGCATGGCCACGAGGAGAGCTGGGGTGGACACCAAGATGAGCTGCAGAGACCACAGACGCACGTGGGAAATGGGGAAAAAGTGGTCGTAGCAGACACTGTTGCAGCCAGGCTGGAGGGTGTTGCAGATGAAGGAAGACTTCTCATCACCCCACACGCTCTCGGCAGCCACCACCAGCACCATGATTCTGAAGATGAAGATGACAGAGAGCCATACTCGGCCAATGGCAGTAGAATGCCTATTCACGCCACTGAGCAAGGTGTACAAACCCGTCCAGTTCATCCTGCCTCATTCACACCTGCAAAACATGAGCCACAGAACAAGCTGTCAGAAAGCTGGGGTGGAAAGCCAGGCTCCATAACACTGCCTGACACCTCCCCCCAACCCTTCCAAGAGCCAGTGACAAGAAAGGAAGAAGGAGAGTCATAGCTTTCCTCACCACTCCCTCTCCCTTGCCAGCCTCTCCTTCTCTTTCTTTTCCTCCTCACTCATTCACTTCATGACTTGACCTCCCTGAGCCCCATCACTCTTCTCCACCTTCATCCAACATTCTTTCCTCTCCTGCCCTTCCTTGCCAGGCCCATCTTGTTCTGCCATCAGCCATCCTCTTTAGCTTCCCCTCCCCCAGCTCCTTAAGTCTGGACCTGGGCTAAACCCAACAAAGCCCCGTTACCTTGGGGAGCGCCTATCCCTGAGGCCACCCAGACAGGTCCCCTATGGTCTCATGTCTATGCAGGGGGAGTGGTCCCTGGGTTCGCGCCTGCGTCCCAATTCATCACCGCCCGGTGCTGGGGAGTCATATGCTGCTTTATACCCAGTGTCTGCACAATGGGACCTTTGTGGGGCTCTGAACAACGCCCTTTAGAATTCAGATCAAACGCCCTGACTTCCGCCCACCCTACACACAGAGCACTTGTGTCCCAGCGCCGGACACCCAGCCTGCACCCACCTGTTCTGTGCCCGCCCGGTCCATCGCCGCACCCACCCCATAGCCCCACCAGAAGAATGGCCACGGCGGGGGGGACGATGGAACAAGGACAGGTGCATGTAAGATGGGACCCAGGGGAACCAGAAGCCTCTGGCCTAAGGCACTCTCCCATGACTCTGCTAGAAACTTAGATTCAGCAGGATTTTTCCTGGCTTAAATCCCTTCCAGGATATGGGTGAGCCTGAAGTTAGGAAAAGGAGTGCACTTTTATCAAGCCAGGAACTGTGCTAAGTATTTTCCCATACATTCTTTCTTTTGACCCACTTAGCAAGCCTCTAAGGACTGCTACCCCAGTCTTTCCAGCTGAGGAAGCTGAAGCTCAGATAAGTTAAGGAACTCACTTAAGGTCACACAGCTGAAGTGTCTGAGTAGGATGAAACACAGAAGTGTCTGAAGCAGAAGTCTAGGCTCTACACGGTACAGTCTTTGTGCTTTTGCAGATGGTGTTCCCCGAAGTATAGGCTAGCTGTTAATGATGACAAAAACAGCAACAGAACAAAGGCTACCCATAAAAACACAAGAAACAAGGAAGTTGCTAACCTGTGAGTGCAGTCCGATCCCAAAGTCATGGAGCAAAGCCTGACCATTCTCTCCTTGAGCCCATACAGAGGATGGCCAAGTGAGGACAAGCCAGAAGGAAAAAGCAAAAGTTAACCAAGCAAGCAAACAGAAGAAGGTTAGAAGATGGAAAAGATAAGAGCCACCTAGCTTTGGGTTTTGTTTTTTTTTAATCTACTATGACTTTCGGGTAAGTCACCAAACCTCTGAGTCTGTGTGCGCATCTATAAATGAGGTTCATACCCAGTGTTATTGTGAGGTTCAATGAAGCAACCTGTAAAAGTTCTTAGCCCAGCTCCAATTTCATGGTTGGTGATCAAGGGAAGTAAAATTTTATCAGGAAGAGAAAACAATGTGGCTTGGGGGGAACTAAGTGGTTTGCCAAACCCAATATCCCTCTTTTTTTCTTCCCAATGCTAATGTTGACCTATAGTGTCTGTCTGAAATAGAACAGACCGTTCCGTTGCTGCCCTGCCCCTGGGTCAAGTGTACGTTGTGACTCCTGGTTTCCTGAGCTTGCCAGTTGCTCTAGGGAAGAAATTCCCCTCTGTCTCTTAGGCAAGGGGAGAAGGCTTCCTTCTACCTCCCACCTTGTTTGTTATTAAGTTATAAGGAGATCATGCTGCAAGCCAGGAACTGGCTGCGACGACACAAGGCCTGAATGTTGTGGCAAGTTCTGGATGGTCCTCTCTGTTGTAGGGGGAAGGGGGAGGGTATTAGTAGCTAGAATTAGTCATTAAGTCATGGCAGACTCTTTTGTGACCCCATGGACTATAGCCAGCCATGGGTTGGGTTTTTCTGTCCATGGGTTTTTCCAGGCAAGAATACTGGAGCAGGTTGCCATTTTCGCCTCAGGGGATTGTCCCAACCTACAAATTGAACCCAGGTCTCTTGCATCTCCTGCATTGGCAGACGGATTCTTTACCACTGAGCCACCAGGGAAGCCCAAGAAAAGTTGAGGGAGCAGGATGAAAGAAACTGAGGGGCAAAGGTATAGTCCGAACAAGGTTTCTTCATGAAGCTTAAAAAAAAAGCCTCAGTCAGTTCATGCTGTGGACCTAAACCAGTGCGGGAAAAACAGGAACACAGGTGCCCTTTCTCCCAAGCCTGGGATTTTGAAGGCAGAGCTGGTACAGGAGGTACAATGGAAAGAAACGCTTCATTCAATGAAACCTGTTAGAGTCAAAATAGGTGGTGGAGGAGCATATTGTTAAGAATAACCATTTTCCAAGCCCCTGCTCTGTGCCAGGCCCTTGCACACCATCTCCTGTAAACCTCAAAACAACCCTGAGAGGTAGATGTTAATTGTAACCCTCATGTCACAGATGAGGAAACTGAGGTAGAGAAAGGTGAAGGGACTTATCTCAGTGTCACAAGGTACATGTGGTGAGTACATGCCAGAGCTGGGATTTTTGAGCCAGGTCAAGCTGACTCCCTGGTGGCTCAGTGGTAAAGAGTCTGCCTGCAGTGCAGGAAATGCAGGAGGCGCAGGTTTGATCCCTGCATCAGGAAGATCCCCTGGAGAAGGTAATGGCAACCCACTCCAGTATTCTTGCCTGGAGAATCCCATGGGCAGAGGAGCCTGGCAAGTTACAGCCCATAGGGTTGCGAAAAGTCAGACACGACTTAGCGACTAACGCATATGCACGCACACGCACATGCGCGCACGCGCACACACACACACATAGACACAAGCTGACTCCAGAGCCCAAGTTCTTTCCCAGAAGCTTTGCTGCCTCAGATACAAATATCATTTTTCTTTCTATGAGTGCTTTTAAGAAACAGAGAGGGAATTTAGAAAGATGGTAACGATAACCCTATATGCAAAACAGAAAAAGAGACTCCGATGTATAGAACAGACTTGTGGACTCTGGGAGAAGGCGAGGGTGGGATGTTTCAAGAGAACAGCATCGAAACACGTATATTATCTAGGGGGAAACAGATCACCAGCCCAGGTTGGGTGCATGAGACAAGTGCTCGGGCCTGGTGCACTGGGAAGACCCAGAGGGATCGGGTGGAGAGGGAGGTGGGAGGGGGGACCGGGATGGGGAATACATGTAAATCCATGGCTAATTCATTTCAATGTATGACAAAACCCACTGCAATGATGTAAAGTAATTAGCCTCCAACTAATAAAAATAAATGAAAAAAAAAAAAAGAAACAGAGAGATTGAAGATTGGTCTGACTTTTATCCTCCTCTTGCCCTTCTCTTCTTTCCTATAACTGACAACTCTCCTCTCCTCCCTTCCCAGGGCTTTCAGTTGCCTCTAGATTTGTTCTGTTTCCCTGTCCTTACCTTTCTCTGGCTGTTTCCTCAAGCCCCAAAGCAAACTTCAGCCGTTCTCTTCTCTCTGTCGTTTAGGGACGCCTCACAGACAGCCTGGCCACCCCTGAGTTTCTAGGTTCTTATAGCTCTCCACCTCCCATCTTCTTGAGCCCTCTGGGACATAGCCAGGAGCTCCCTTTAGAGCCCCTAAGGACCCTTGTGTGAGCACTGAGATCTCAATTTTTGTTCTCCCTTTGGAAAGAGCTGATCCCTATGTCAACATCAGTAACTCAAGGGTTTCATTTCAAAAACATTCATGGGAGTTACCTGACTTTGAAATCCAAACTGTTTTTGTGACTTTGGGTTAAAGTCCAGGTGTTGATATGTTCTGTGTTGCTCCAGGCATGTTTGGCTCCTGTGTTTAATTAGACAAGATTTCTCTGACCATGTCTGGCTCTGGCCTTGTCTTCAGATCCAGATTTGCCCAAGCACTCAAGCACAGGTCAAAATCAGGAGATTGTCCTTAGTCCCTGCAACTAATATTATACCCACTTCTCAGATAGAGAAGGTGAGGCTCAGAGAAGTTAAACAACCTACCTCAATGACAACTGCACTTCTGCTAAATGGTAGAGTCAAATTTCAAATTTGTTTTCCTCTGACCTCAAAGTCTTTGTACCTTGGCAGCCTCTTCCTTTAAGGACACTGCATTCTGAGATCAATTAGATCGCAGAACTCAAAAAAATGTTCTCAGCATTCCTTTCCACATGTGCCTGCATGCGTATGTATGCGTGTACACACACGCACGTTCAAGTCTATCTCTTTCTGCTCCTACCTCTTTCCTGTCCCTCCTTCCAACTATGGGAAATCCTTGCATCTTTTTGGTTTGGGAAAGAGGGGCCTGGCTTGGCTAAATGAGGTTACACTCAGCCTAAGACTCCATACTCCCTCCCCCATTTCACAGGCAGCCTCTGGCAGGACAGGACAGGGGGCTTTTTTTCAGATTTTCTTCTGAATTTCCAGCTGCCTTCATCGGTTTGGTGCGGCTAAGACCAAACCCCTCCATCCCTCTCCCTCTTCACCTGCTTCTCTTCCCTGCCTCCACCCTGCGGTTCCATAGCACCTTAGTCACTGCACTGTTTCCTCCACACTGTCATATGTATTCTGTGGCCAGGCTTGGGTCAGGGCCTGTCTAGCTCATTCCAGTTTTCTCCTTCTCTCACTCTGCCATGATCTTTCCACAGAGCTCCTAGTAATATCAGCTCCCTTCCTCACTGTTTGGGCTATACCCTTTTACTCCTCCATCAACTATCTGACTTCCTGTTGCTCTCTACTTGGGCTTATTAAAGCAGCCACCACTTAGGGAATACCTATTCTGTGCTAGGAGTAGTCTGTTCCTTAACTCTTATCCTCACAACAAACCTGTGAGCTGTGAGTTGTTGTCTTCAATGCACGAGGCAATGGAGACTCAAAGAAGCTGAGTAATTTATCACGCAGCTGGTAGGCCAGTGCTGGAACTCAGATTAGGACTCATGTTGGCCCCTCATCAAAGCCTGGGTCCCTTCCCCATTGCTCTGCTGCATCCTCCTCTATACTTCTCTCCATTCAAACCCATCTTGTCTCTATTCTCCTCTCCTCATCTCATTTTCTAAGTCCATGCATTCTGCCATGCCATCCCCAACAGCTGGAACAACTTTCAAACAGCTAGGGGGCTACCCATCCTTTAGATATCCCAGTCATCAGTTACTCCAAGCTCAGCTTGAGTCTCCCTGCCTCCCTCAAGAAAACGCTCCCAAATCTTGGCCCGGTTGGCTGGTCCTCTGTGCCTGCCGAGTGCACTGTATTCATCTGCCCACAGCCCCTATGTTGGTTGCACACCTGGTTAGCCTTCTAATCAGGGAAGGAAAACAGCACCTGGCAATGCCAAGCGGGCGCCCCCCCCCCACTGAATCCTAACCCTGTGTGGCAGGAAATGTCTTAAAGATATAAACTTGGCCACCCTGAACCTGAGGGCCCCCCTCCAGTCTTTCTGGGGATTTGACCCTGTGGGAAAAAGGGTGGTTCTTGCCTGGGCAGAAAAGAGTGAGAGCAGAAACAACACTGGGCCTGGGAAAAGGATGAGTTGGGGGCTACAGAGAGAGACTAAGCAAGCCTGGCACCCGGGTAGGAGGTGCCTCAGTCCAGCTCAGAGCGAAACACAGAAGGGATCTAAGTGGCTGAATGCTGAGCCCAGGAGAAGGCAAGACCCAAGCCTCTCCCCAACCCCCACTTCTGCCCTCCTGGGCCACAC